TGGTTAGAATTGAGAGCATGGTGGGGGGAGTATACCTCATTTGAATAAAAGGAATAACAGAAGCAGTTATTTCCTTTTTTTTTTGACCAGATAATTAGACAGGTAGATCAAAGGAATGTAATAGATTTTGTTTACCTACATCTTAGCAAAGCATTTGATATCATTTCTTGTTATATTTGTGGTAAAGATGGAGAGATATGGGCTAGATGAGAATATAGCTAGATAGATTCAAAACTGGTTGAATGGCTGGACCTCAAGCATAGTTATATTAATGTTGTCATTTTGGAAGGAGATCTCTTACCGATCTGTACCTGGGAGACCACAAGCCAGGAGCTAATGGCATTGAGGAAGGTAGGCAAGTGTAACCTGAAATTGCTATTTTTGGTATATCTGGATGCCATGAACTTCAAAGGTAAAGAAGAGAGGTTGCTAAGTGATAGTGACAGAGTAGGAGTTGGGAAGTGGCAGTGGGAAGAAAGAAATATACCAATTCCTCTTGGCCCTGTGAGCTGGGAATGGGGTGGGGTGGCAGAGCATGGTAGAAGAAGCAGTGAACACTGAACAGGGTGTTGAAGGATGTAACATCTTTAGAAGAATCAAGATTTCAGTTAATGCCAAAAGATAGGAAAGGTTTAAGAGGAAGAAATAGGATTAAGAGTTTATTAACCATAGAGCATGGGTCCTAGTCAGAGCTATAACTAGAATGAAGTGATTGGAAGTTTGCCCAATGGCCCTGGAATCTGGGGGTCACTTCCTCCCTTCATTGGTCCCTAGCTCTCTGTCCCTTTGCGTCATGGTCTTTTGCTGGCCCAAATATCTCCCAAATACAAGGTCCTCTGCCATCTTGCACTATTCTCATTTCCTCAACAGGAATTAGAAGCCTTTCTCCAAGGTCCCAACAAAAGTGTTTATTGTTAAATCTTCAACATGAGCATTTACTTTTTGGAAATAACAATGACAATAGATAACATTTATAAAGTGCCTACTATGGGCTAGACTCTATGCTAAGTGCTTTACAAATATTATCACATTTGATCCTCACAGCAACCCTAGAAGGTAGGTGCTACTATTACACCTATTTGACAGTGAGTAAACTGAGGCAAACAGAAGTTAAATGACCTGTTTAAGGCCACAGAGGCAGTAAGAGCCTAAGGCCAGATTTGAACTCAAATGTTTCTGACTCCAGGCCCAGTACTCTATGCCCTGTGCCACCTCACTGCCTCCATCAGCAAACAGTACAAATCAAAGCTTGATTTATTATTTGTGGATTGTCTCTAGACTTAAAGTGACGGAGAAAATTTTAATAATGCAGGCTAAACTTAAAAGCGTGTTATGCTTACATTTTTTTCTTTGAGACCCAGTTAAACATTTATCAGCACATATTTGGAGCCACCTTCTCCCAAGGAAGATGAGATAGTAGTAATCAGCAACCATGACAGAGAGGTACAGGTCAGATTCCCTTGGGGACACTGGTCAACTGTTGTCTATAGTGAATAGAGAGCAGGACCTGGAGTCAAGAAGACTAGAGTTCAAATCCGACCTCAGATACTTCCTAGCCATGTGACCCTGCGCAAGTCATTTAATCTCTGTGTGCCTCAGTTTCTTCAAAATGAGAATAATAGGGGCAGCTAGGTGGTGCAGTGGATAGAGCACCGGCCTTGAAATCAGGAGGACCTGAGTTCAAATCTGGTCTCAGACCAAACACTTGACACTTTTTTTGGTTTTGTTTTATTTTAGGCAGTTGGGGTTAAGTGACCCTGGGCAAGTCACTTAACCCCAATTGCCTAAAAACAAAAACAAACAAAAAAAAAAAACAAAATGAGGATAATAATAGCACCTAACTCACAGGGTTGTGAGGATCAAATGGAATCATATTTGGAAAGTGCCAGTGCCTGGCACATAGTAGGTACTTTATAAATGCTTATTCAGCCCAACCTCCATCTCAGCTGAATCTGCCCATGAGAGGTCATGAATTCCTCATCACTGAAGGTCTTCCGGGAGCCTGGGAAGCCACTTAGTGATTCCGCAGAAGGATTTCCATTCGGGTATAGATTGGAATAGGCACCCTGTAAGGACCCCTCTGAGATTTTATAATTTTATTACAGACACTAACAGTCTTACACATTGAGACAGATATCAATACCCAGATAGACCGAAAGAGAAACCCTGAGCTAAATGAATACAGAGACCCACCTAGAGAGAGAAATATACACAGTTGATGAGGACACTGGGTAAGGAAGGCAGCATGGTATAGTGGAAAGAATTAAGGATATGGAAACAGGAGTAGTTTTGCTACTTATTTCTTGCAAGTGTGTGTCTTTGGGAAAGTCAGTCGACATCTGTAAAAGAAAATTGGGCTAAATGACTCCGGGGGTCCCTTCTAACTTTAAATCTATTCATACCAGGGAACAAAATAGAAACCTAAGTTGAAATCACAAAGAGAACTGGGCCCCAGCTGACTGGGCCATTCTCACCAAAGCCTTCCCTAACTCTCTGCAGCAGAAAGTTGGAACCATCAGCCCAATGCCCAACCCAGACCCTTCCCCCACAAGTGGGCCCTGCAGAAGCACCACCACTCCCATCGCCTTCCCCATTCTCTTCAAGTTTCTGGATTGTCCTCGGTCACCTTGCCTTGCCGTCTCGCTGTCCCCAAAGCCAGGAATTAAGCCCTGTCCCCCTCCATCTGGGAGTTCTCTGCTATAGACCACAGTGGGGTGGAAGATGAGGCTTCCCCTCTTCCCCTTTTCCTGCCCCCAGATATGAAAGCAAAGGCGGCTGCCTCAAGGAAGGAGCCCAGGTTCAGAGCAGAGTGGACCCCCAAAGTCAAAGAGCCTCATATAGCCACCGACTTAGCTCAGTGCCTTGTGACTTCTCCTTGAGGCTACACCTACAGCTTCCTACTCGGTCTCCCAGATTCCATTCTCCCCTTTCTAATCCATCACAGCAGCTCAGGCCTAACCACGTCACTCCCTTGCTCAGGAAGCTTCAATGGCTCCCCTTATTGTCTCTGGCAATTTAAAACCCTTCACAATCTTGATCCAACCTCTTTCCAGAATGCTTATCCATTCCTTCCCTTCACAAAACCCCACCCTTCAGCCAAATGCACCTCCTTGATGTTCTTTGTACGTTAAATCCCCTCTCCTCTCACCATGCTTTAGGAGCAGAGAATTCAAACGGTAGGAGTTACCCAGCAATGGCTGTTGCCTAGGGGAAGGAGGGCTGATACTGAGGAATTCCAGCGTATGGAAGGCAGAGCTGATGGTTGGGGTACTTAAGAGTACTTGGGTTCAAATCTCAGCTCTACTAACTACTGATTGTAGGATCATACAGACATAAATAAAAGAGACTATCCAGGTCATTGATCCCAATCCTCTCATTTTACAATGGGGAAACCAAGGTCCAGAAGGATGACTCAACATGGCACAGGTCATGAGGAACAAAGCACCCATTCTCCACCATATCACTATTTTTAAGTCACTCAATCATGCCCTCAGCAGCACTTCAGAACCATCACACAGAGAGGAATGTTGACATCCAGACATGCACAGCACACATATCCATACAGAGAGACACAAAGATACATACAGGAAAATATGCATTAACTCACAGCTAGGCACTTGTGTACTTGCTAAAACAGGCTTGCACAGACATGCATATACAGCTATCCCTGAAGCAACCCCAGCCTACGGGCAAAGACCTGGGGTCCTAAGTCTAAAGGGCACTTTAAGGGGGTCTCCAAGGGTTCTTTCCTCACCTCTTGGAAAGGAATGCATTCCTGCTATAAGCCCAGTTCACCCTGGCCTAGAGACTTCCCAGAATACCATTTTCATCAATTCACCCCAGCCGCTAAGAATCAACAGTGGTTTCCTGTTATCTCTCAAATTCAAAGACCTTACTTAATTTGACCTCCACCCCACTGTTTAATAAATCTTATCTCTATTCCCTCCTTTAGTCTTATTTTCTCTCACTAAAGTACTAAGAAAACATGGCCTTCCAGGTCAAGAAGGCAGAGTAAGGACAGATCAGACCCTCCCAAAAGGATTGGGTTTTTGAAGTCAGGAGATCTAGGGGAACAGAAGTGGTGCACATAAGGAGCAGAGTTACTCGGGAAATGTTTCCAGTTCTTGGAGCGGGAGGGATAGAATTCCTAGGGGTAGAGCTCAAGCGATAGGTAGACTCATCCCTGCAAATGAAAGGGGTGAGCAAAGACCTCAGGACAGCAGTGCCATCTGCTGGGAGCATTAGGGATTGGCCTTCACTCTGGTGAGGAGAAACTCGTACATGGAAAGATCCTAGGGACCTTGGCTCCTGGCATGCATACATATCTCCTTCATCCTTCATCCATCAGTCCTACCCAAGGTTACAGCTGGAGACATCCCCTCACAGGCTCTCATTGCTCCCAACGATTCCAGCCTAAAGATCTTCTCTTTCCAAAAGGTCATCCACTGTGCCACCCACAAGGGAAATCAGGTTATAATGGATAGGACCAGGACAATAGTAAAGGAGGCAAAAGTAACAACAGGGCCGTCAGTCAGGAGCTTTGCCCTGTGACAGTTAAGGAAGTGCCCTGGGAAGCCTGGGCCTACATTCTGGTCCCTGCCTCAGACAGGAACTCCCAGAAACCAGACTAGCTCAGGGACAAACCCTGGTGGACTCCAGGAAATGAGCTCACATTTATGTAGGACTTTGTGCTTTACATATATGACTTCATATAGTTGTATAACAATTATCATGCTGGTACCACAAGTATTGCTGCCTTTTTATAGATAAGGAAACTGAGGCTGAGAAACAAATGAACCCAAGTCAATGGGGATGAAGAAGAGGCCATGAAAATTCCGGACAATGTGGGAGCAGAGGGGGATATATTGTGCTTGTGGGAGGACTGGACCAGCTCCCCGATCCAGAAAAAAGCCAGTGATTCTAGTCCCCAGAGGAGCTGCAGCTTGATCTTGAAAGAGGCCCAAGCCAAGCAGTCAGGACAGAAGCAAAGCAAGGAGGAGTGTGGAGTATTTAGACTTTATTTACAGTTCAACCACACCCTGCTCCCCCTACCCCTTCAAAGCCACTTCAGAGAGAGGCTTGCAGACAGGGAGGGGTGTGACGGAGGGCTCCTCACTTCCTCTGAGCCAGGGCCCTGGCACGCTGAATTTTGTCAGCTGTGGCTCCGTCTGAGGCCCCAGTGCAGTGGGACAGGACGAGGCTCAGCTCGGCCTCATTGCGATGCTCGATGGCCACATCCGCAGCCTGTGCCACATCCTGAAGTGGAGGGAGGGGAGGCAGGTCAGGGCTTTCCCTGAGGCCTCTCAGGCACAGAAACACAGACAGGCCTCCTCTCCCTTCTCCCTCTGTGCACAGATCCCGCCAACCCCTCCCTCCAGAGCATACCCGATAAGGAGGAAAGCCTTGACTTTCTGCTCAGGGCTCACTCGGGCAGCAAACTTCTTGGCCTCGAATTTGTTGCGTCGCTTCATGCACACTTCCACAAAGGGCTTGGGGAGAATGAAAGGGCAGGGAAGTCACTACCCCAGAACTTAGCTTCAAGGTCCAGCCTCGCCCTGCCCTGCTCCAAGCCCCTTTCTCCAGGATAGGGCCCTTTGACCACCCCTCTCCCCCGGGAGCTTTCCAAGGGCAGCACTGAGTTGCGGTGGATAAAGAAAGGCTAAGTTTCTTCTGGGCTGGGGTGCAAAGGGGTAAGGACTGGGGGGCCCCTCCTCACCAGATACCCAATGGGTGATTTTTTGCTTTTGGAAAACTTTTCTAGCTCTTCCCAGTCTTCCCGATCAGCCAATGCAGTCAGCTTTAACCACCAGAACCTGGGGGAAGAGGGAAGAGAAACAGACGGACAAGATCACTGGCAGCCGAAAGGAGGTGAGAGTAGATCCAGGATCTGGAGGAGGAATGCCCAACGCCCAGCCTGGCCCCAGGATCCAGCCGTGCCTTTTGTCAGGGATTCGGAAGTCCCGGGCCAGCTGTTCGGCACGTTTGTTGTTCCCACTGAGGAGGAGGGAAGTCACGGTGTCATGCAAGGACAGGTCCAGGAAGTGCCCCCCCAGCTCATCCTCCAGGCGCCGCTGCAGCCGCAGGAGCCGCATCTGCTCCTCTGTGGCCTGGAGGGGTAGAGGGCAGTGAGCCCTCCACAGGGAGCAGGAGAAGTGGAGGAACTAGAGAGAAACTAACAAGAAGGGAAGTCTGGATGCCTCCCGGGGCAGGGACCACTCGGGGGTCACAGGATGTCAATGCCAAGTCCACCCCCTCATTTTATAGAGGAGGAAACTTAGGCTCTGAGAGGGAGACTCGGCCCAGTTCCCACAGGAAGTCAGTGACACAGGCAGGACAGGAACTCAACTTCCTGACAATGGGCTTCTGGGTTAAAGAAGGAGTGAGGGGTGAGGGTGGGGCAGGAGGAGGGGGAGAACGTCAACCTTAGCAGCAAACTCATTCTTGGCCTTGTAGTACTCATCAGCTGCAGTCTGAAGGGCTGCAACTCTGCCTTCGATCCGCTGGAGGAGAAAAGGGCAGAGCCTGAAGACCTCAGAGAATCCCTCTCTGCATTCTCTGACTCTGCAGGCCGGTCTCAATACCCTCTTCAGCTTCTCTTGCACCTAGCAACTGCCCCTCAATTATTCTCTGGGTCACATGTAGGCAAAGGGGATATCTCAACGGGTCCTTGTGGACTGCTTGGGCCTCATTTCTGGGAGCCACGGACCAACCCCACTGGACAGCTATCCACTGCCTCCCTGGCCAGGACTCACGTCCCTTTCCCACAGCAGCAGCTCCAGGCCCTGACCTCCTCAGCAGCATAGCTGGCCCGCATGTGGAAGTTGCCAAGCTCTTGGTGATTGTCATCTTGGTTGTAAAGATCCTTCAGTGTTTCCAGCTCCTGGTGCTTACAGAACTGGAGAACCAATCAGGGGGAGGCTTGTCAGCCACAACCAGTCAAGGTTTGCCACAAGCATCACCCTCAAATGTTCCCCCCTTCCTCCTCTCACACACCTGTCGATATAGACTCAGGGCCACAGGCTGGTTCTGAGGGTCATGAAGAAATCTCCACGATTCAGCTCATTCTTTAGGTGCAATACAACTGTAAACACTGTGAGGCCAGGGAGAAGTCACTAAATGCTTCCTCCCAACCTGCCACCACTACAGGACTGGCCCAGGGGTTGGTGGAGAGATGGACCTTTTCTTCTCCTATGGACAGCAGGAGAACTGAGACAAGTGCCTAATGTGGGGCCCTGGTAACTTGGGAAAGGAAATGAATAAACATCTAAAAAGATAAAAAACCCAAGGGCCCTGGGAATAAGAATTTGGGCTACATTAGCTCTAGAGGCCAGAACCAAGAGTGGAGTTAGTGAAGTTTTCAGAGGCAGAGAAAGACCTGGCCGCAGCTATTTCTGCCTTCTCCTGTCCAAGTTACCAGCTGCAAACCTGAGGGAACTAAGGATAGCTTGGCCTTCTCCCCCATGATTCCCCTCAGGGGTCTCACCTAGGTCTGTGTCCCCACTCTCAATGGCTTTACTCAGGGCCAATTTGCTTCTCTTCATCTTCAGCAGAAGTGGCACCTGCTCCCCAGATCGCGGCTCATATTCCAAAAGCTGGGGAGACAGAGAAGGAAGAGGGGAGAGGTTACAGGATGGCAAGTTCAGAGCGGAGGAAAGCGCAAAAGCAGCGGTCATGAAGTCAGCTATTATCATCCCCTCTCTTTACAGATAAGGAAACAGCCCCAAAGACATGCAGGGGAAGAGCTGGGCTCTAAATCCAACCCAACACTTTCCTCCCCACAGTGAAGGAAGCATAAGGAGAAGTCAAGCTTGAAGGGGAAATGAGTGTGTGTGTGTGGATGGGGGAGTGAGAGTGGAAGAGGAGAGTCCCTTCCGACCTTGATGGCAAGCTCAGTTCGGCCGCAGCCATAGGCGCGGGCGGCGATATCGGAGTAGGAGACCCCTGGCGTATCCCCAAGCTTCTGGTTAATGGCACGAGCAACATCTTCATCAGACACATCCTTCTGCTGCACCTGGGGACAAGGGGAGGTGGTGTAGGTGAGTCACTGAGGCCCCCACCCTCACACCATAACCTGGCACTCCGTTTTCTTTCTCAGGCTTCCCAGGGCCTCCCATAGTACATCTGGCTCCCTTCTACCTATGGCCAAAGTGCCTCAGGACTCCCTGAAACACCCCAACTTCTTCTACCTTGTAACAGGCCCAGTGGGCCAGGATGCGACTGACACCCTGAACCTCAGGAAGTCGAAGGTACTCGCAGATCTGGATGGCCAGAGGATAGAGTCGCCGCAACACCAGCCTAGGGATGAGGAAGGAAATGGGGAAAGAGGCATCTGGGAAAAAGACTTCCCCAGCAGCTAACAATCTGTGCCCTACAGTGGAAAATGCCCCCCAGGACCCTGCCCCATCACCCACCTGTCCAGCAAAACTTCAATAGTGAGCTGCTTGTATCTGGATGACAGGTAAGGAGCCAAACTAGAGAGGATGCCCTCCACCATCACCTCCCCTTTAATGGAAGGGGATCCCCATGGGACAAGGTCAGCATCTCCCAGGCCCTGGGAGAGAAGGATATTGGGGACACATTCCTGGATACTGGGTGTAGGTGAGGGGGATTCCAATGGGATAGTCCCGCACAGCATTCAGCACCCTCAAGTCCTGACACATGCGCACGAAGGTGTCTGGTGGAAACTTGTCAACGAAACACTTTCCAAAGGAGGCTGCCTGGGATGGAAGGAGGTATGTGAGAGGCGCTAGCCTGGCAGAGGCAGCCAGCACCACTGTCTGCTGTCCCCTCGTAGCCACCCTCCCCCCCCCCCCACCGACCCTGAGCAGGCTTTCTGCATCTCGGGCTGGTGCTCATGGCCAGCAGCCTCGATACACTGCCGTACTGCCTGGGGCAGCTGTTCCCGCTCCTGGATCTCCCGGAGGTACTCATCTGCCTTCTGGCTTTCCTTCTAAAGGGTGAAGACGGAGAAGGGCCAGAGTGATGACAGTGGCTAGGAAGCAGGTGAGTGTCACTGATCATCCTAACATGTTAGGGATGAAGTTAAGTCCCTGAGTCTCCTAAAAAGGATCTGCCTAAACATTTCCAAACTCAAGAACTCTTGTACCCTGAGCCTCTCCAGGGCCACAAGTCTCCCACCTTCACATCCTTGGGATGAAGGTGAGGGTAGGGGAGGTGAGATGGCCTGAACTTTGGCCTAAGACTTTCCCTATCCAGCTCCCAGAGGGACCCAGAGGAAAGTCTAGAACATGAGCCAATTTCTGTGACTCCATCTCCATCCTGGGTCTTCTGAGCCTTCACCTTGCTGGACGGAAGAGGCCTCTTTCTCATGACCTGTCTCCACAGCGCCTCCACTGCCTTCCACCTCTGCTCCCCTCCATATACTTGTCCCCAGGAGCCTCCAGCCACACAACGTGTACCAGGAGAAAGCTGCCCAGCCTAGCTATTGGATACTAGGGATGAGGTAGGAAGGAGGCGGGACAAGCCCTATTGCTAGATGGGAGGTTGGGGGAGGTCACCAGGGGCCAGGGTTTCACCTCATATTCCTTTTGAGCTTCTAGCAGAAGGGCTCCTGGGGCCATAGAAGCAATCCTGAAGATCTCTTCACTGGCCACTGTGATGTGGGAAGGAATGAATGGTGAGTGTGCAGTGCCTGGAGCCACAGAGACCCAGCCCTGTTTTCTCCTCAGCACACAGCAAGTACCCCCAAACCAGACTGTGCCTTTGCCCCTATAATCAGAGGCTACCTTCCCCTAGCCCTGTCAAGTCACTAAGCATTTATTAAGCACCACATGCACAGCACAGTGCTCCAACTTGGACATAGTTTTGTACCTGCCCTCTGGAGAACATTTTTTTCTCCTGGTGCTCTCATTCTAAAGTCTAGGCCTGGCTTCTCATGGAAGCCTCAGCAATCTTTCTCTATAGTCTGGGGCTTTCTCCCCATGAAGAGCCAGGATGTTTCCCTCCCAACTAGTCACAGCCCTCACCTGGAACTTCATGCAAAAACTCATGGACATTTCGTGAGAAGATCCGGACTCCATCCAGCTCAGGCACTAGGTATGAATCCTCTTCTAGTACAAACCTGCGGTCTGTCAAGGAAGGCTCAAAAGGGAAACAGGGCAGGACAGGAAGGGGGCAGGGTCCTCCACAAAACTCAGGGGGTCAAGGAGGGGAAATGTGTTCTTCAACCTTCCGGGACCCTCCTGTAATAAATGCCCCAAAGATAACCCCCAAGGATACTGGATGCTTTCAGGTGCATCACCAGCTACCATAAGCCGTCGCTCCCAGGCCACCACAACAGCCTTTTGCTTGCTCTTTGGACGACTGCACCTGTCATGGGGGACACATCTTGTCAGAGGTCAAATAATTCATGCTACCCTTGCACTAGGACTCCAGGTAAGCAGCCAGTCTCCCTCTGGGTGACACCCCAGTTGCCCCCCCCCTTACCAGGCCATCTGCTTGGGCGGGGCTCGAATGTTGCAGCTGAACTCATACAGCTTCTCCTGGGGTAGGTCATGGATGACATTAGTGTTTCTCACCTCCTAGCAGTCCCTCCCCCTCAGTGCCCCAGAGGTGGTTCCTAAAGAATGGTCAACAGAGTCCTGGGGTGAGGATGTTCAGAAATCACTGCGCCCCTGTGGCTCACCTTAAGTGAAGCCAGGCCCATCCAAATGTGGCCCGTATCAGTGAATAATGCCAGGTATCGATAATTGAAGGACACAGCCATCTGGAGGAAGCCACTCACTCCCGGAGCCAAACCAGGGGGTACCTGGAAGCATAGCACAAGAGCCCCAGCCCAAGTGAGGAGGGGCCAGCCTTTACCTGTCCCTTAAATACCACTGATCCTCCAGATCTCATGAGGAGAGAGTGTGCCAATGTGCTTGCACGCAGTCATTTACTCTGGCCCTCCCCACTGTGCCCCTGCAGCCCCTGAAGGGTCATAAAATACATTCTATTTACTCACCACCCCTGAGCAGGCTGTATTGTCTAACAGGTAGAGGTCAGGACCAATGGCTAAAAGCACAAGGGTCACTCGGTCTTGGAACAAAACTGTCCAGCATGAAGGTAGAGCCTGGAGCCCTAGAAAGAGAAATTAGCATTGGGGAGACTGAGGGTCCAGAGGCCAAGGTCAGGGTAAAGGAGCAGGGCACCCATTCTGGTAAAGCTCTCTCAAATACACTGGCCTATTAGGAACAGACACATTCACCTCCCCACTGCCCCTGGCACTGCCCGCACCTCCAGGATGGATACAGTGGCACAGTGGAGAGCATCCAACATCTGAAGAGGGGGTACCTGGCACCTCTGGCATCCTACGCAGCTTGAGGTCACCCACGTTGGCAGTGAGTGTAAAACGATGGGCACCAGTGAGGATGGCGATCCCTGACCCAAACTCCGTGTGGAATACCCGGGCATCCAGAACCCGGTTCTGGAGCACCTCCTGGATAGGCCAAGGGGAGGGAGACAGGGAGAAGCAGTTACTTGCCTAATAATCTCTCTCAGATGTCCTGAAAGACTCACCCAATCTAGTCTTAGTACCAACTAAGACTCAAGCATATCTCTGCCCCAGCTAACACCCCTGCTCCCACACCCCTCCCTCTAACCCCAGCCATTACCAGTCCCGGCCTGTCCCTGCCCTCCACTTCAGTGTCCTACCCACACAGACAATGCCCTGCCCCCATCACACTTCTCAGTCTGTTTCACACCTACATTGCCCATGCTGAAGTGTCTCCGGAAGTCACCATGCAGCCCATAGACCAGCACAGAGCCATCTTCCTGCACACACAGCAGCTCCTCCTCTGCCGACCAGCCCAATAACACTACCGGCCCACTCTTCCACTGGTTGGGGGGGAAGTACAGAGAATGTGAACAAGGCTGATGGAGAGCTTCCTGAGAAGGGGTACAGGAGGGAGAAGAATCCTGGGGTCCCAAAGGGAGGTGGGAGGCGAGGATCACCTCGCCTAGGGTTGGCACAGGATAGTTATGGTCCAAGGGGCAGGCTAGGGGAGAACCAAAGAGACATATGTGCAGTGGGGAGAGAGGCAGGGTGCATGGGTCCCTATATGCTGGAACTGGAGAACAAGGAGGTGAGCCAGGACCACCCGGGGGCTGGGAAGCATACCAGCAAGCTGGCTAGAGCCACTCCAGAGGACGAATAAATCTGAAGTAATGGTCGAATGCTGGGTGACTTCTCTTTCTTCCAAGGGTTTCTCAACACAGCTGGGGAAGGAAAATATTAGCCAGATGCAACCCCATGCCCTTGACCTCAGACCTACTCCCTCCCAAGACACAATCTCCCCTCGGCTGGAAAGTCAGAAGGGCTTTATGGGGCTCAGGATGGAGGGAACAAAGACCAACAGAACCCAACGGGACAAGGGAGGAAAGAATGGCCCACGTACCAATGGGGCCCCCATAAGGAGCTGCAGCCACCAGGCAGTCTCGCAGGGGTTCCTTCAGGTCCCAGTCCATGCTGTACAGCTCAAACTTCCTGCCATAAACAAAGAGAGCCAAGACCAGCATCAGCATAGGAAGCTTGGGGTGGAAGGCTCCCTGAGTCTACTAAGCTCAGAAGAGATCATAAAAGAGACTCCAAAGGATGCACAGTTTGAAAGGAGGAGCCCAGAGAAGGCCTATATGAGACAGCAGATACCACCCAAGCCTGGGTACCAAGGAGAAAGGCACACTCAGACCTGCCCTCCAACGGGAGTCCCTATTCTCCGGGGGAAGAATCTGCCTGAGATAGAATGACCCTTCATCCACGGAAGAAAGCAACTGAAGAGACGGGGTGGGGGGGGAAGGGAATAAGCATTTATATAGTACCTACTATGTGCCAAGCACTATTCTAAATGCTTCCCAATCATTATCTCATATGATCCTCACAAGAACCCTGGGAGGCAGGTGCTATTACTATCCCCAATTTACAGTTGAAGAAACAGGCACACAAAGGTTCAGTGACTGCCCAGAATCACACAGCTACAAAATGTCTGCAGCTGGATTTGAACTCAGGTCTTCCTGATTCCTGGCCCAGAGCTCTATCCCACTGTTGCACCTTTTACTTTTTAATTTTTTGTTTTTAGGCAATTGGGATTAAGCAACTTGCCCAGGGTCACACAGCTAGTAAGTGCCAAGTGTTTGGTCTGAGGCCACATTTGAACTCAGATCCTCCTGACCTCAGAGCCGGTGCTCTATCCACTGCACCACCTAGCTGTCCCATACCACCCATTACTACTGGTAGTAGTGTTGAGGTTCTCACAAGCTTTCTGCATTATGTTCTGCCTGGCTCAAATAAAACCAACATACTTCAGGGCTTCAAAAGAAAGCTCTTTAAAGCTTAAAAAAAAAAAGCACCATAAATGTAAAGCATTATTTTAGGAAGTACCAAGGTGTTGTAGATAGAGTGCTGGACCTGGAGTCAGAAGATCTGAGTTCAAACTTCGCCTCAGACATTTCCTAGTTGTGTGACCTTGGGCAAGTCACTTCACCTCTGTTTGCCTCAGTTTCCTCAACTGTAAAATAGGGATAGTCATAGTCACCTATTTCACAGGACTGTGTGAGAAGCAAATGAAACATTATAAAGTGTTGTGTAAATCTTAAATCACTACATACATGCTGGCAATCTGATGATGGTGATGATGATGGTGATGATGATCTGTGTGACCTAGCTCAAGTCACCTCTGTGGGCTTCAGTTTTTTGATCCCTACCCTTTCACAGACAAAATCCTAGAAAAATCTGTATACACTTATTGCCTACACTTCCTCACACCCCTTCACCCTGCACTGCACTAAGATGACTGATGAGCTCTGAACTGTCCCACAGACGCTTGTCTCTCAGCCTGCTCATTCTTGACGTCTTTGCAGGACGGGGCACTTCTGCTCAGTTTCTCTTCCTGTATATTCTCCTCCCTGCTGTCACACTGCTTCTGCTCAGCCTCCTTTGCAAGATCACCAGTCATATTCCTGCCCTTCTATGTGAAAGGCTATGTCTTAGGGCTCTGTCCTGCACCCTCGTCTCTTCTCTGTATCTTTTCCCTTGGTATTCTTGACTCTCATGGGTTTAACCATCATCTCCATGCAGCTCATTCCTAAACCTTTACAATCAGCTCTCACCTCTCTCCTGAGTTCCAGGCCCACATCTCTATCTGCCAGTTTGATCTTTCTACCTGGGTGCCCCAGAGGCATCTCAAACTCAACAGGCTCAAAATATTTTCCCCACAAAATCCACCTCCTCATCAAACTCCCTTACTTTGGTTGAAGATACTACTGTCCTACCAGTCACTCTGGTTTGCAATCTCGGAATGACTGCTGACTATTCCTTCTCTTTCACTCCTTGCATTAAGCCAACTGCCAAATCTTGATTAAACCTCTCACATTTCCCTTTCTCTTCCTTCACAAAGCCACTCCCCTAGTTTAAGCCTTCTCAGACCAGAACTACTGCACCACCTCTTAACTGGTCTCCCTACCGCCAGTCTTTCCAAAGCACTAACCACATCACACCCTGCTCAAAAGGTTTCAGTGTCTCCCTACTGCCTCTCAAACAAAACAGAAAACACAAAATCCTCTCTCTGGCATCTAAAGTCCTTCCCAATCTGCCTCCAACCTACTTTTCTATACTGATTTCACATTAGTTCCTTTCCCATTGTCTTCATTCTAGCCAAACTGGACTATCAGCTATTGCCCGTAACTGCCAATTCCCCCATCTCTGTCTAAGCATTTCCCCATGCCAAGAGTGTTTTCCTTCCTGTCTCTGCCTCTTGGAACACCTCTCTTTCTTGAAGGCTGACTCCAAAAAAAGGGCCTTTCTTGATGCCTTGAGGTTTTATGTTCCCACCCCTCACCCCCACTACTTTGTGTTTATTTGGACACACTTTGTATTTGAAAGGCAGTGTGGCGTAATGACTAGAGAGATGGTTTTAGAGCCAGGAAGACCTGGGTTTGAAGCCCACCTCTGAAACATTCTAGCTGTGTGACCCTGGATAATCACTTAAACTCTCAGAGATCCACATAACTCTAAAATTAAGTTGCTGAGTAGGTACCAATCTGCTAGCTACATGGTAAAGGAAATTTCCTTATTGGAAGTACCAATGAAATCACAGTTGCATTAAAAAGAACAAACTGCACTGACTTGTCTGAGTACATGTTGTTTCTCTGTGGTAGAACATAAGTTCCGTGAAGGCAAGGAGTGTTTTATTTTTGTCTTTGGACCCCCCCCCCAGTGCTTAGCACAGAGCTCCATGAATGATGTCTATGGTCCCTCCCAGCTCTAAATCCTAGGATTTCAAGAACCTCTCCTTCATTTCTTCCTTCACACATAGACAAGCAGTAACACTATCAGGCCAACTGCCTCCCAAGAGGAGCCTACCTAGTGGATGGCATGGCAGGAACATGAAACTTGCCTCACTGTGCAAAGTGCATGATAATTTACTGTGGGTTTTCTTGCCCATTACCTCGTTGGGCTCTCTCGACATCCCTCTCGGGGAGGCAGGAATCATAGGATTTATGAATCAAGGGGAACCCGAGAGCCCATCTAGTCCAATCTCCTCCTTTTACAGACAAAGAAATTGAGACACAAGGAAGGGAAGGGATTTGTCTAAAGTCACACAGGTATAACAGAGCTGGGAATCAAACTTGGATTTTCTCACTCTAAATCTAGCCTTCTTTTCACTCAACTACGCAGCTTCTTACTATTGATGCACCCTTTTGATGGACGAAGAAGCTTAGAGAGATGAAGCTCAGCCAAGGTCCCAGAACTAGCATAATGGAACCAAAAGGAAAGATTAGAAAAGCAAGCAGCTTTGTATGCTGGAGCAGTGTCAGAATCAAGGCCATGAGAATGAAGATATTCTGTATACTGCTGCACTGCCAGGTGGTGGTGGGAGGGACAAGGAAACTGGGGAGAAGAATCATAATACAAGCAGCCTCTTCTCTCAGAGTTTAGGAATAAACCACCAACCAGGAGGTGACCTTAATTGGTCCCAGAGAAAGAGACAGGGTAGAGTGAACCACAATAGGAGTGTCATCTCTCTCTGCCAAAAGCAAAGCAGTGATTAATTAATCAGTAATTAATTAAGACTTGCCTTAATAATTCTGTTCTTGAAAGGTAGTTGCCCTCAAAAACTAAGAGAACATATACCCTGGACCTGATTCTCACCAAAAAGAACTAGCAGCTGGCAAAGAAATGACAAAAATCTTTTGGAGGAGTAACTATTCCATCTTAAAATTTGTGAGAGGAAGAAAATGGTAATAGTTTGAAACATATCCTAGATACTAAGGTCAAACTTCTTTGATTTGGAGGGGTATGTTTTGTTTTGTTTGTTTGTTTCTTTTCAAGGAGGGAGGTAGGGAGGTGTTCCTTAGCTAGGTGGTTTTTTATTTTATTTTTATTTTCAGTTTCAAATTCTCTCCCTCTCCCACCCATTGAGAAGATAAGAAACATGATACCCATTGTATATATGTCCTTAGCTATATTTTAGGGAAAAAAAGATGAAAGAAATAATAGAACTGGTACTCAGAATGGATGGGACAATGGTGACAGATGAAGGAGGGAAGGCAAAACAACTCAACTTTTATTTTGTTTCTATTTTCTCTTCCAAGGAGAATGATCTTTGGACTGGAAAGTATGGAACAAATACCAATTGTTCTCACTTTGAGTAAATTCACATTACACAAATTTGACTTTATGTAAAGAATTCGAAAGAAATCTTCATTAAAAAAAACCCACCTACGATGGGTTTCTCTCCCTGATCCTGCCCCTTGGCTTAGCACTCCATGGCCTCCTTCCTCCTGCCCCCCAAAACCAAAAAATAACTTTTAAAAAACCCTCCAAATGAAAGCAGAATAGACTGCATGAACAGATTACCACTGCGACTGCCAGACTGAGGCTTTCTTGGCTTGAGACTTCGGGCACCAAGAGAGAAGACCCTTGCCCTTCAGGTCTGCGTACCCCACCCACCACTCTTCACATGTCCAAGTCCCCTTGTGTCTGTCAGCGTGTGAGTACCACATATCTGTCCCCAGCCCCGACATGTTACCATGTGGCCCCCATGTGTTCTTCCTCTCAGTTCCAGCCAGGCCCTCATGTGGCTGACCCTGGCCCCTACATTCCTTCACCAGTTCTCACTTTGTGGGCAGCCTCCTTCCTGCCCCCCTACCTCCCTTAGCACAGGCAAATTCACATTACATAAAAATCTATTTCCATTGAGGTCTACTGAATGGTCCATTTAGGTAAAGCAAGAACTGTCTGCATAGCTAAGAGAGAGGTGATACCCAAGATAAATAATGAAAAAGTAAAAGAACACTTAGAGGCTCTTGTTGAATTTAAGCCACCTGACTCAGATGGACATATCCTCAGATACTGAAAAGACCTGGGAGATGTGATTCTTGGGTCACTATCAATGACCTCTGGAAGATCATGCCTAACAGGAGAGATGCCCGAGAACTGGAGAAAGGCCAGTGTCTTTTAGTTAGTGTGAATACATGAAAAAGGAAACA